CAGGCCTGGGGTTTAAAACCCTAAACCCTAAACCCTAAACCTTAAACCCTAAACCCTAAACCTTAAGCCCTAAACCCTAAACCCTAAACCCTTGGATTCAGATCTCAGGTCCAAGAACACGAAGATCAAGGAGCAGCCGCAGCCTCAGACTCGGCCGTGACCGAACGGGTGGATTTTGGATTTATTGCTTAGGATTTTGGATTTAGTGCTTAGGATTTTGGATTTAGTGTTTAGGGTTTAGGATCTTGGATTTAGGGTTTAGGGTTTAGGATTTTGGATTTAAGGTTTAGGGTTTAGGATCTTGGATTTAGGATTTGGGTTTAGGGTTTAGGGTTCAGGATTCTGGATTTAGGGTTTAGGGTTCAGCTTGAGGCCCTAAGCCCGAAGCCCTGAGACCCAACCCCAGCCAGAAGCCCAAAGGTTGCAGCCCGAAATCCCGAAGCCTAAGCCCATGTCACGAAGAGATGAATCCGAAACGCCGCAGCCGGAAGCCCTTAACCGGGTTTAGGGTTTAGGGTTCAGGGTTTAGGTGTAGGGTTCAGGGTTTAGGGTTTAGGGTTTAGGGTTTAAGGTTTAGGACGTCAGCTTGAACCCGTTGATATCAGATGATCAGGACGAAGCTGACGCCCGAAAACATGGTCTTCTCCGGATGCCCAGTGGCCAACGGGAAGTGCAAGGGTATTGTGGTGTCTTGGTAAGCGGATCGAAGCGTCTTGTGCGCTTGCTGTTTCTTTTCTGGGGTTTGCTTTGATCTTTTTGAGGCGTTCTCCTCGAAGAGCCAATTTCGTACCGCATTTTTGCCTCTTTCTATTGGGCCTACTGGGGTTGCAAGAGCCAACCTGAGGTTGCCACTGGGATGAACACACGCATCGGCGAGATTGCCAAGATGATGGCGAAACAAGACGAGGAGGCATCCTGCGAATCGGGGCTACCCTAAAAAAAAGAAGAGCGGATTCCTCGAATCCCTAGGCCCGAATTGCTGCAGCTCAAGACAGCTCTGCATTTGGGATGTTTCGATAAAGAGTCGTTGTCGACAAGTCGCTGCTTTTACTACATGGGTGATGTATACAGAGAGGAGCTGCTAATGGGGGGGTTTCTACTTATACGGGTCATTACGGTCCTGTAATCAAGGGCTACCATACAAGAGTTACTTCAAAGGGACGATCGGGGTTACCATGAGATTCAGAAGGGTTCTATGAGGTAGGCCGCACGCCCAAATTGGTCTTCGCCTTGTCTTTGGGCTGGAATTCCACATCCGAACTACCCGAAATATAAATCCCCAAACCTGCCTGAAATCGTATTTCCTACATGCCCGAAGAAATTCCGCAGCATACCGAACTTAAATCCTTCACCGAGCCGACAGAAAATCTACCCTTCCATCGTTTCAAAGCACCTATGCCCTGGACCAAAACTTAAAAACGAAAATCGTGTAACGACAAAGTAAGAACCCTAAACCCTAAACCCTAAACCTAGAGAGACTTGACCTCGAAGGGTGGCAGCAGCGGCTGGTGTGACTGCCTGCCCACCTCGGCCGAGAACAAGACGCCGCTCCAGGAGCGAACAGCACAGAGGGCGGAAAGGGTTGCTTCAGGGTGTTCATGAGGGGCTTTATAAAGGTTCTATACTGGTTTTGTTAGGGGGGTTTTGGGGTTTTTGGATTTGGGATTGGTTGGGTTGTATTGTGGTTTGGGACTTAGGATGTTGGGGTTAAGAGCTTTCTGGCGTTTTTGAAAGGGTGCAGGGGATGTGCTAACAAAAAGTTGCAATGAGGGTCAGAAGCAGGGCAACCACCCAACGTGGGTAGATATAGGCCCAATTGCAACCAATGTTCTACGTGCAGACGGGCTGGGAGAAGAGAGGCGGGACCCCGAAACTCGGCTTTCGAGAACCCGAGAGTCTCCCGAGGAGAACGTTGAGCGATTGGGCGCACGCATCGGCGTCCTGGCCATCGCTGTCTGCGTGGTGGTGTTTATTATCGGCCTGCTCATTGGTACCAAGGAGCCCCGCTTCTGCGTACATTTCCAGCATTCTCTTCAAAAAGTCGCATGTATTGCTTTGCTACCGTGGCCATCATTGCACGGAGGTTCGGTTTGCACATGCCCACTGTTCCCTCTTCCCATGTCTGGAGCTTCGGTGGAGTAATGCGAGGATCCTGAGTTCCCAGAGAGCCCCAGTTGGGTCTACATGATCCTCATTGCCGTGACCTTGGCCGTCGCTGCCATTCCAGAAGGAATCCCACTTTGCGTGACCATCTCGCTTGCGATCGGCTGCCAAGAAATGGTCGAGAAGAATGTGCAGGCAGGAAAGTAACCTAGGGTTCTTGTCATTATGTACGCTTTTGTGATGGTTTCAGGATTACAGCGGGGTGACAGCTGCCATACTGGAAGCACGGCTTCGGTCATTAAGTGATTAATTATCTGTCCGGAAGTACAGGACTCTCTTGTTTTGTGTGTATATTCGCAAGCACACCGGTGCAACAAATCGCCGGAGTATCAACAAGTAACTTGCCCTAGACCCTAAACCCTAAACCCTGAACGCACAAATCGAGAAGTGTACCAAATCTTTAACAAAAAGCCCTGAACTCAAATTTTGCCAGAGGTGCGCAAGATCGCGGCAGTGGAAACCCTGGGCTCTGCTTCGGTGATCTGCAGTGACAAGACAGGGACGCTGACGGAAGGTCTGACGGGGCGGGGGTTGACACAAGCGAGGGGGTGTTCGGTGATGAAAGGACTCATACATATGTGCACAAGTAAAGCCAGCTTACAAGAATGTTGGTGAGTCGAGACCCTGGGCAGGAAAGATGACCATGACGAAGATGTGGTCCTGTGGCGTAGAGTACAACATCACCGGCCAAGGCTTCGATCCCACCAACGGCCAGGTCCAGCGCGTGGGCATGCTCCTGCCCAACGGGGTGAACTCCAACCGCGACCTGGGCGTGCGTAGCACCCTGCTCTCTGCCGTTCTCTGCAGTGACACGGTGCTCTTCCTGGCCGAGGATGAGGAGACGGGTGAGGCGACCTGGCAGTACCGGGGCAACTCCTCCGAGGCTCCCATCGTCGTGGCCGCCAGGAAGATCGGGCTGCCCGAGGACGTGACGAAGGGCTACCGCCGTCTGGTGAACATCCCCTTCTCCTCGGCGCGCAAGATGATGCTGACGGTCTCCGATGTCACGGGGCGAACGAGCTTGTGCGATGGTGGCATGCCTTTGCCCCCCGGTACCACCGGCTTTACCGTCTGCAAAGGTGCCCCGAACTGGGTGATTCAGAGCTGCAGCAGCATCCTTCGAGAGGACGGCGGTGTGTATCCCCTCAGTGAGGAGGAGAAGGCGCGCATCAACGCCGGGGTTGTGGACGCCTACTCCGACCAGGCCCTGAGAGTCCTTGCTGTAGCCGTTGGCTTCAGGGCAGAGCCCACGGCACAGTTGGAGAACGACGACGTACCACTAGACGACAAGTTCAAGATGCTGCGGTGCCCTGTCTGAATGATGGGGCAACAAGAGAGGCCCAAGTCACTGCAGCTCTTGATCTGGAGCCCCTATAATCCCTAAAGCAATCCGACCTGCGGGCCTGAATGTGAGCTTGACTCCCGCAAGGTCCAACTTGACTCTCGTTGGCATGGTTGCATCCCTGGACCCGGACCGCGAGGGTGTTCGGGAGTCGGTGCTGGGCGCCCGGGAAGCGGGAATCCGAGTCGTCCGAAGCTCAGGAGCAAAGAGCCGGGAACAAAGAATCGCGTGGGAATGCGAAGCAAGAGGAAAGATAACGGAGTAGAAGAGACTGGCGGGAGATGGGGACTCCAGGCAAAGAGTCGTGCACACACACGCGGCTTCAAGTCCCAGCGAGGTCATGATCACCGGGGACTACCTGAAGACTGCCACGGCCATTGCAAGGTGCCGCCCTGTGATGTTATTTAGGGTTCTTTGCATCCTCCTTTCACTAGCCACATCCCAAAGCCTAAAAAACCTTTGGCAGCCTTCCAGTTGAAAGCGCATTTTGGGATCCAGCTGGGCAGGTGGAACAGTCAGTGAGGCACTCACCCAAAGTCCGGAAACCTACGCCGGCAAGGATCCCTCAGCCCGAAGCCACAACCCCGTCAGTCCGCGCAGTCTTCAAACCTAAATCCGAAAGCTTAAACCTCACGCCCGAACCAGGCGGACGGAAAAGAGGTGTCAACAACAAAAACCTCAAACCCCAAAGCCGAAAACTTGAAGCCTTCAGCCCTAAACCCTAAACCCTAAACCCTAAACTCTAAACCCTAAAACCTAAAACCTAAACCCTAAACCCTAAACCCTAAACCCTAAAACCCTAAAACCTAAAACCCTAAACCCTAAAGCCCTTGAGCTCAGAGGCGGGTGGAGATCCTTCGGCCGGAGGACAACGTGGCGGAAGCAGCCCCTGAGCCGGAAAATGAGTTTTAAACCTTGCCAGTTTAGGGTTTAGGGTTTAGGGTTTAGGGTTTAGGGCTTGGGGTTTAGGGTTAAGGGCTTGGGGTTTAGGGTTAAGGGCTTGGGGTTTAGGGTTAAGGGCTTGGGGTTTGGGTTTTAGGGCTTGTGGTTTAGGGTTTCGGGTCTAGGGTTGAATTGCAAGCCGTAATCGTAATTGCAAGCCGTAATCGTAACCTTGTCATGCAATGCTTATAAGTATAGTAGTCACCATGTGATAGTAACCGCATAATGGCTCATAATTTCATAATCGTGACCTTGTAGTAGTAACTTCAAGATAGCACCCTTGCGATAGTAACCCTAAAATAACAGCAACTGTGACCTTACCATGGCAACTTTATCGTAGAAGATTTCACGATGGTAGCCTCATGATCGTCGAATCGTCGTCTTGTAGTAGCCTCATAGTAGTAAGCTGAACGCAACCCTGCGTGGTAACCTTGTAGTCGGGTGAACAAACTCAGACTCCCAGAGGCCGTGGACTGCAACTCCCTGCGCCCGCGGGACGAGACCTACCTGCCAGCTGAGCAGATGGCTTGGGCCCCAAAAAGGGTTTAGGGCTCAGTTAGTAAGGTTCTTTCATATGATGCCAGGTGCGGACGCGTTTTTGCGTTGATGACTGTCTTTTGCGTTGTTTCATTGAGAGTAAGATTGTGGGGTTTAAAGCACTTCAGAAGAGACGAAGCTTTCAGGCTTCAGGGCTTTCGGGCTTAAGTTGGGGTGGTCTTCGCTTTGAAGGCTTAACTTGGACTGCAGAGTCAGTTGGAGCGTACGGTACTGCTCCTACCACGCGTCATCATGCATTGACGTCATTCCGCACCTTAAGCTTCGCTTCTACTGGTCTAATCGACTTTGACCTCCAAGCTCTGATCCTAAACCCTAAGCCGCTAAACTCCAGCCGAGAGTTCAATGAGGGTGACTAGTGAAGTGGCGCCTGAAGATGAAGCTGAGGTTTTGGATTAGGTGTGTTTTCTATGTGCACGCTCAATGAGCGAGCCTTCGACATCTTGCGGGAGAAAGGGGGCTATTGCATTTAAAAAAAAAAAACTCCAGACCCCCAACCCCGAAGCCTTCAAACCCCGGAGACTCCATCCGAGGACGATATCACCAGCCGAGTTCGCGTCTTCGCCCGAGCTAAGCCGGCCGACAAGCTGGAGATTGTCCCTTGTTGCAAAGGGAAAGGGTTGACGGTTTAGGGTTTAGGGTTTTTGTACATCAGGATAACGGATAGGTCTGAGCCGAACGGATCCTCGAAGCTTAAGCTCTGCCTCGCCGACGTTAGGGTTTAGGGTTTGGGGCTTGGGGTTCAGGACTTAGGACGTAGGGCGTTTGGGGACTGTTTGCTTGCAGCTCGTTTTGAAACCCTAAACCCTAAACCCTAAACCCTAAACCCTAAACCCTAAACCCCCACTAAGAAGGCCCTCTTTGGTGCCACCGAGGCTCCTAGGGTTCCCCTTCTCAGGGATTGGTGAAGTCACTTTTTTTTCGCCCGAACGCAAGCTCCATCCAAACCCATCCCATCATTCTTGAAGTCTGAAGTAAAGCAGAAGCCGAGCTATTTAGCGTCCTCTGCAAAATCGCAAAGGCCGTGCGAGATTCCGTGAAAAAAGCACCGCATAAGTTTCGGGAAAAGCCAGAACTGCTATGAACACTCACAAACTACTGGTAAGTAGTTCTCTAGATTAGGGTTCCCTTTTAGGGTCCTTTTTTAAGGGTGCCGTACTATACTTGGGACCCAAACAGGGACCCTAATCTAGAGAACTACCCTGGTCGAGGTAAAATCCCTCCAGCGGCAGGGTTTGGTCTGTGCAATGCCACTTGGCTTTCCATGATGGGGGTGCGGGGTTTAGGGTTTAGGGTTTAGAGTTTAGGTTTTAGGGTTCAAAAAGGGTTTAGGGAATAGGGTTTAGGGTTGAGAAAGGGTTTAGGGTTTAGGGTTCATCCTCTCACACCGGATGGGCTTGTGGTGCGCGGGGTGTAGGCCTTCTGAATGCCTTCAGAATTCTGGGCTTAAGGGGGTATCTTGATCCAAGAAACCGACCTCTCCAAGGACTTTTCAAGGACATCATGATAAGGAACCTTGAAAGTGTGGTGTTCAGGCAGGATTTAGGATTTTGGGGAAGACAGCCTCGGTCTTCAGGAACTGAGCCTGCGGATTAAAATTTGGCGAGTTCTGAGCGAGCTCCCGCGATGTCCTAACAGCCGCGCCGGGGTTGAGGCTTGTAGGGTTCAGGGCTTTGGGGTTTATGGGTTTAGGGCCTAGGGGTTTGGGGTTTAGGGCTTAGGGGTTTGGGGTTTAGGGGTTTAGGGTTTAGGGTTAGGGGTCTAGGTTACAGTCACACTTCCGCGCCGGCAGGCAGTATTTGTTGGGCGTCGATGTTCTCTATCCGGAAGTTGGTAGCAGCAGTGATGACAACGTAAATTAGGACCCTTGAGGTACTCCGATTCTAGCTTCCTGAATATGGGTGCCCTTTCGTAGCAAAGCTTCGCCTCGATGCGCCAGTGTCCCTAAACCGTCAACCATAAACTCCCAGCCAACCGGCGGCGAGGACAGGCGACGGCGTCAACGATGCCCCGGCGCTGAACGAGGCGAACATCGGCGTGGCGATGGGCATCCAGGGCACAGAGGCACAGCTTTCACGGAAGGAAGGGCTTGCACGGGGTATGAGGACAGGCCCAGCTCCGAAACATTTGATATACGGGAATGAAAGTTAAATTGGGGTAGGGTAGCTATGCTGAAGAGGAGCGTAGGTGCTTGACTACCTCTGTGCTTCTGGGCAGAGGTCAGGATGCAGGGCTTCGCAGAGGCTTTAGACATGTATGCTGACGGCTTGAGATGTTTCGATTCCGGGTCCTCAGTTCAGAGATCATGTAGTGTAAGTGATGGGGCTTTCCGAAAATTAGGGGACCTCATTTTCGGGTCCTTATGATAAGGATCCTACTATTTAGGGTACTATATGAGGGTCCCCTATTTTCGGAAACCCCCAGATGAATCGAGAGCCTTCCTTCCAGAGAGCCAAGCTCTGAGGTGGCCAAGGGTGCAGCGGAGATGACGCTTGGTCGAGTGCGATAGGCTGAGCCTGCCTTCTGTTTCGGTCTAGGGTTTTGCGTTGTTCAGGGTTTAAGGGTTTAGGGTGGTGCCGGCACATGTTCCGAGTTGAGAGCGTTTCTGCAGAAAGTGCTAAGCGCTTGGCATTGGCTCCCTGCGCCCTCGTTACTAACAAACAAAATCGTAGTACAACAGGATACACCAGTTTCTGAGGATCTTGACCGATGACAACTTCACCTCCATCGTGAAGGCCGTCGAGAAAGGGCGGTCCATCTACGCAGGTATCCAGAAGTCCCTTGGCTCGCTTGGCGGCGATGTGGGGAGCTTGTGGAAGCTACGGTGTCTCTAGCTGACTTTGCGAGCGGGTTCCAAGCAGGGTTATAAGAAGATAACATCTTCAATTTTCTGATGTTACTTACATGTCGCTTACTACGTCGCTTCGGCCCAGGAACAGACGTGAATCAAACACGAAGAGGGAACCCCAATCCCGAATCTCTAAACCTTACATTCTGAACTCCCAGTTCAGTCTCAGTGAAGTTCTCTGGGCTGACTCCGGTCCTTCCAAAAGTGCTTCAAACGAGACCCGCCAGCTTACAGGATGCTTTTTAGACGAGGCTGTAAGCAAGCGAGCCCATAATTTACGAATCATACCCCTTGTTGACAATTACAGATGATTACACCAGAATATGCCGACCTGACCTAGTTTGGAGCCCCTCTGGTAGTTGGGGTTTGATCGGGTCTTTGGAGCCAAGATCTTTCGGCTTGGATTTAGGCTGTGCTGGCCTTGAAGTGTCGTCCTCATGCCTCGAAACTCCAGGTTCGTGGCCTTCATCATGTCTGTCCACATTGCCGAGGTGCGCAAAGAACATGTCACACCCTCATGAGTCGTCCCTTACAGCCTACTGCATCATGCTCACTCTGTAGGCGTGCGCCTGTGAGGTCATCCAGATCTTCTTCTGTGTCGTCGTCTCTATGCCTCTGATGCGCACACCGCTTCAGAGCCTCGCCCCGGAAAGAGACAGAGAGATAGGGTTTAGGGTTTGGGGTGCCCCTTAAGTATGTTTTTAGGGTTTAGGGTTTAGGGTAAAGGGTTTGGGGTCCTCCTTAAGTCTGCGGAAATCAAGAAGGGAGAGCTCCAACATCCCAGAGCCCCACACTCCGGACACTAGGCACCGAAACCCAAACCGGAATCCCTAAACCCTAAAAGCTTAGACGCTTCTCAGGATTCTCTTCCTGATTCTCGTCACAGATCTGCCGCCCTCCATTGCGTTGGGCATGGAGCCCGGCGAGAGGAGATCTGGGGATGGGCGGCGTCGGGTTTCGGTATTTTGGTGTTTGGTGCTTTTAGCGTTTGAGGGTTTTATAGGATCAGGGGCAGGGTTTAGGGTTCAGTGTTTGACAGGGTTTTGTTTTTTGGGGGCTCGGTGTTCCCTAGATGGAAATCCTTCTTCATCTCGGCAGGAATATTCTGCAGCAGCCGCCTCGGCCGAAGAATGAGCCAATCGCGCTTTGGCTGCAGAACTCCCAGTTGGTCATTTGGGTTTGAGTCTTTGGGTTTGGGGTTGGGGATTTGGGTGCTTTGGAGGATATGTGTGGTTTAGGTCTTGAGGCTCGCCTATCATGGCTAAGGCCAACAGATTTGAAGGTTCTAGACGGCGATCCCCGTGGGTTTTTGCAGTCAGGGTTCAGGGTTTTTGGGGCTTGCGGTTGGATCTTGAAGGTGCTTGGATGGATGTGGGTGAGCATCTTGCTGAACGGCTTCGTGCTCTCAGCGGTCATCATCGCGGTTTACACCATCTCCCTGCATCACTACCTGGGCGTCGTGTTTCTGGATGATATCCTCAAGGCCAAGGAAGAAGGACCCCTGGAGTTTCGGGGATCAGGATCTGAAATTGGCTTTCAAGCCTGTGGATTTAGATTGGTGGTGAGGCTCTGGGGTTTGAGGGGTTTAGGGTTAATTATTTAAGTCTGAAGCTTGAGGGCTTAACAGCTGGGCATATTAAGCTCAGACCCCCGAAGCCTCAAAGAGCTTTAAGCCCCTGAGCATGAAACAGCGCCAGGCCCCCTAAACCCTTCTAGAATCCCTCATCCCCCGAAACCCCGCAGCATGAACCCCAACCTCTTTAGCAGCCAGCCCTATGCAGCCGCAGGAGAATCGCAAAATCAACCATAAACCCTAAACCCTAAACCCTAAACCCTAAACCTTATGCAGCCGCAGGAGAATCGCAAAATCAGGTCGACGATCAGCTTGCGAAGGTCGGGATCAATTGGGAGCTTCCAAAAATTAGGGGTACCTTATTTTGGGGTCCTTATAATAAGGATCCTACTATTTAGGGTTTAGGGTTTAGGGTATTTTGGCATCCTAATAGTAAGGATCCTACTATTTAGGGTTTAGGGTTTAGGGTATTTTGGGATCCTTATAATAAGGATCCTACTATTTAGGGTTTAGGGTTTAGGGTTTAGGGTATTTTGGGGTCCTTATATTAGGGATCCTACTATTTAGAGTACCATATTCGGGTCCCCTATTAAACTTAGGGTACCTTATTTTGGGGGTCCTTATAATAGGGATCCTACTATTTAGAGTACCATATCAGGGTCGCCTATTAAAATTAGGGTACCTTATTTTGGGGTCCTTATAATAAGGGCCTTACTATTTAGGGTACTACATTAGGGTCCTTATAATAACGGCCTTACTATTTAGGGTATTACATTAGGGTCCTTATAATAAGGGCCTTACTATTTAGGGTACTACATTAGGGTCCCCTATTTTCGGAAACCCCCAATTCCCAAAGCCCCTACAAATCCAACCGTCTGTCCTACGCATGAATTAGTGCTCCACTAGTAAGGCACCGAAGCACGAAGCTCTAAGGCGCAAACTCCAAATCCTAGGGCTGAACCCTAAACCCTAAACCCTAAACCCGAAACATTAAGCCTCTAAGCCCTAAACCTCTAAACCTCTAAACCCTGGGGCCTGAACCCTAAACCCTAAACCCTAAACCCCTAAACCCTAAACCCCTAAACCCCTAAGCCCCTAAACCCTAAACCCTAAAAACCCTCAACCCTAAACACCCTCAAGCTCATGAAGGCGAGGACTGTGGCCTTCATCTCCCTGGTCTTCTGCGCCTTTTGGGCGAGCAGTTGGCAGACTTGAGGGTTCGGTTTAGGGTTTAGGGTTTAGGGTTTAGGTTTGGGGGGTTTGGGGGTTTAGGGTTTCAGGTTTAGTTTTCGGGTTTAGGGGTTTCGAGTTCCAGTTTTAGGTTTAGGTGGCTTTAGGGTCTAGGCCGAATTTGTGGATCTAGGTGGTTGGGGGGAGTCATATGTTCGTACTAGAGAATCTCAGAAAGAGAAGCGAACCGCCCGAAAGGGGCTGTAGAGAATCTCAGAAAAAGAAGCGAACCGCTCCAAAGGGACTAGAGAATCTCAGAAAAAGAAGCGAACCGCTCGAAAGGGACTAGAGAATCTCAGAAAGATAAGTTAAGCGCTCGAAAGGGACTAGAGATTTCGAGAAAGGGATGCGAACCACTCGAAAGGGACTAGTGAAACTCAGAAAGAGAAGCGAACCGCTCGAAAGCGATTAGAGAATCCGAGAAACCGAAGCGAACCGCTCGAAAGGGATTTGAGAATCCGAGAAAAAGAAGCGAACCGCTTGAAAGAGATTTAATTGATCAGAAAATCTGAGAAAGAGCGGTTGTGACAATGGAGCGAACCGCTCGAAGGAGACCTTGAGGAGTCCTGAACCTTAAACTGCGAACCTTGGCCCCCTGTATGCCCTGAACCTTGAATGTGAAACCCTAAACTCTCAACTCCCAACCCTGTCCCTCATGGACCTTAAACTGCAACCGGAAACCCTGAAGCCGGAGGCTGAAGTAAAAAGCTTGATCCCTCATCTCAAGAGGCCGAAGCCCCAATCGTTGACCTGTCTTGCACAGCCTAAAAGCCTTGTGCCCCTTGAATCTGGGGGTGTTGCGGCTATGAAATGGGTTCATAGACGAGCTTACGAGGGTCTGTGGTTTTAGGGTCCTGGGGCTTCGGGTTTAGGTGTTAGAGATTTTTTTAGGGTGTTGGCGATTTTCGGGGTTTGGGTGCTTTAGGATTTGAGTTTGTGATCCTTAAACGAAGTCTTAAACCCCAATCCCTCAGACCTTGGAAACTAAAGCTTGCTTTAAGTCCTGAGCCCTGAACCATAAATCCGAATTAAACCCAATTAGACCCTAAACCCTGAACCCTAAACCCTAAACCCTAAGACTTCAAACTTCTGATCCGAATCCGAGCTTTGTTTGCCTTCAAGTTCTTTGGATCACCTCAAGGCTTGGCTTCGGCGCTAGGGTTTCGAGTTTAAGGCTTCTTGGAACATAGTGGACATAGGGCCCTAAAGGGTTTAGGGTTTAGGGTTTAGGTGCCCAGGGCCCTACCCATAAGGCACCATGGTAGTTCCTTTTTGGGGTTCATATTTAGAATCCTATAAGGTAATCCCAAACAGGAACTACTATGGGGCCTATGGGTTTTGCGGACTCTTGCTTGATAACCTTACTGTGGGGATCTGAATATAAGGCCCTCAACAACAGGGGGTTTATTGCTAAGGCCTTAACTCTAAGCAGAACTCTAGGTCGTCCTCAACTCTAAGCCGCCCAGGAGAATGTCCGTGCCTACATCTGCAGATCCTTCAGTCAGCCTGTGTGGGTGGATTTGTGCACAAACCCGGTGATGCAGAAGGCAGTTCTGGTGGCACAGGCGCATTCCGAACCCGGTCCCTTCAGGTTCTAAAATTCTAAAACTTATAGGTCAGGGTAGGATCATTCAGGACAACTTGGGGGCCCCTTTGGCAAGATTTCTACCGTTTACGGTTCTTACTAGAGCTCCTGAGTTTCTGCACATACAGATTTCGGTCCCATTGTTGACTCTTACAACCGCCTGGTGCTCAAGCTCAAGAAGTTTTCGGCTTTTTGGTCAGTCAGCGGTTGGAACGTGTTGATCTAACTCATAGTCGCAAGTCCGTCGTTTCGGAGGTCTCCTTTATAGTTGTATTCCGGACCAAACAAACTAAAGTCATGCACTGACCCCTCGACCCATACCCCCCAAAACCCGTTGACCACAAAAAAGCAGGTGGCCATGTTCTGCGCGGTGCTCATCCCCTTCTTCTCCGACCAGGTCCAGCTACACCCAATAAAAGCTACAAAACACAAAATGTAAATAGCTCAGTTAGGGCTGAGGGTTTCGACTCTTTTTGGGTATGTGTGGCTTGTATATAGGGTTTGTAAGGTGTTGAAGGTTTAGGGTACCGTCAGGGTCCTTAGGGTTAAGGGCAGTTGATGGGCTGACTCCCGCATTACGTGCAGCACGTGAATTCTGGCATATTTCCTACTCTCGCCGCAGGGTCCAATTTTACTGTTTTTCTTGATGGGTCTTTGTTGGGAGACATTGAAAACCGCAGAAATGCAGCTGGACCCGAAAGTGTAACTTATAAATTTTGAAGCCTAAACCCTTCTGTTTTTGAAGTTGGGGCTCTCTGATTGTAGTGTATCGGGTTGAGGGTTAAAGCGCGAGAGATGTTGGATGTTTTTCTTTCGAATGCGTATTTGATCTCCCCTCCCCCTGGACCCCCACTTTAAACTTCAACCCTAAACCCCAAAGTGTTCAAACGTCCTAAACCCCAGCAATTTGCTGATCCCTGTCCAAACAAGATGCCTCGGAACACAAACACCAGATCCTCGGCCTGGATGGCCTCCACATCGGCGCCTGGGGCTGGCTCTTCTCCCTGTCAGGCCGTGATTTCATTGAGTTTTTGTGGGATTTGCGGATTTTTTCGGTTGAGTTGAGGTTGCTAAGGTTTTTTGGGCGCTCGAGCGGAGTTCATTCATCGAAGGTTAGAGTTTGGGCTGCAGATAACGGAAAGGCAGGCTTCCAGGATTCATGCCTTTGTCAGCGCTAGCGCCCTGGAGCAATAAATCCAATAAATCCCGATCCCAACGGCCGAAACTGGAAACCCTGAATCAGGACCTGCCGCCACGCTCGTGCTTTGCGAGCTGAGCAAGCTTCTGACCAAGTGGCAGATGAAGAAATACCAGCGACAGGCGCGAGTTTGTGGGGGTCTAGGTCTCGGGGCTTTCAGGTTTCAAGGCCCTTTTTCCAAAAAAATCAGGGTTTAGGGCTAGGCTGAAGGGTTCGGCTTGAATGAATTGGCTTGAGGGTCAAAGGCACCCGAGAGACGAGATCGGGCGGCTCCCATAGGTTTCTTCTTTTTTAAGTCTCTACAGTTCCCAAGCTTTTAGCTTGCATCCGTTACCAACACTCTCTCCCGGCTCCTAGCCCACGTCCACAGCCCTCAAATGCCCTAAGCTTCGAAACCGGCATGTGCAGGATCCGAGAGTCGGTAAGCGTCAAAGGGCTATATTGGGTGGTTGTCAAAATGATGGTCCCTTTTGGGGTCCTTATTATAATACGGCACCTATTATTTAGGGTACCCCAAAAGGGACCCTAATTTTGACAACTACCTATATAGGAAGAGCAAAACCCCGTTTGAGATATGTGCGACCCCAGCTAAGACATGCTGGTTGAGCCCGAACCGCCACGTTTGGAGCCCAGAGGTTGCGACGTGAAGCAGCATGTGGAGAAGTGTTCAAGGGCCTGAAGCCCTCAACCCCCATTCCCAAAAGAATTCGAAAAGAGAGAAAAAGATGTGAATTATGACCCCAAACCTAAACTAAAGCCTTACACTCAGAAACTCAACATGCCCTCTTTCTTGGAGACGCCTCCGGGACAGGTCAAGCTGCAAACCGATGAAGGCCCTGGGCGGCTGTTGCCAGGGTTCTGGATTTCGGAGTTCAGGGAAAGTTACCAGTGTTTTGTGCTCTTAGGGTTTATGTCGGGTTTCAGGAATGTGGAGCGTAGAGTATGCGAGTATGCTTGCTGGATCTCTCCTTCTACGATCGGCTCCCTTTTCATGCAGAGCGGGACCCTTACGTGGCCGAGAGGCTCCTGCAAGGTTTGGGGCACCCAAAGGCGGCAGTTCTTGAGCCCTACAGCACCAACCCTGGCTCCCAAACCTGCGCCAGGCCTGTCTGAGGAGGAGTCGTCCATCTCTGATTCCAGCTCGGAGTAGAGAAGCAGGTCCCGGACAAGATCGGAATTGCCTCCGTAAGGTTTGCGGTTTGAGGATTACAAAGTTAGAAAGGGTTGAGGGCTTACGGCTTCAGGGGTCTTGGGTTTGGTGACATCTGGGCCGGGTTGTGGGATTGACTGGGCCGTGTGGGATGGTCTTTGGCATGACAGCTGAGTGCTCGAGGAAACCCAACTCGCAAGCCTCGAATTTTTGTCAAACCCTACTTAGGGGATCAGGGGACTTAGCAAGTAAGGGTATAAGTATCCTAATTGGAGTTGTAAGTAATCATATCTATGGTTACTTTTTCCATAAGCCCAATAATCTCCAAAGAAAGCCTTATCGAAGGGGTCTTGAAACACTGGCGACTCAAGTACAGCTGCATCTTGATGCCGCAGGTCGCAGAACACTGCTGGCCTGTTGAGTACGGCTCAGTGAGGTGTCGTGGAACTCCAAAGTCAGAATCATAAAGGCAAAACGCCAGACTCCAAACCTTGACCTAAACCCCGCAAACCTAAACACACCCTCAACTCTCAACCCCATAAACGCGAGGGCTTCTTGGTCGGGGTGTCGGCTTTCATCTTTCGCCCACGCAAGAGGCGGCCTTCTTCGTTGCCGTGCTTCGTGAGGAACTCTAAGTAGCCTCAGCGTCCGGCACTCGTGCCAAAGAGGGAAAACATGTGGGAATGCAGGCTCGAGATTTTAGGACCTTGGGAGTTGAGGTTCTTCGGACTTTTAGGATTTGATTGGGCTGTCATGAGGATTCGAGGTTTGGGGTTTAGGGTTTTAGGGTGTAGGGGTTTATGGTTTAGAGGGTTCCGGGTTTAGGTGTTCGGATTTAGGGTTTAGGTGTTAGAGTTTCTTAGCCTCATTTGAATTTGGCTCGAGTGCTTCCAAGTACAGACGAGCGCGTGTACAGGATTTTGCGCCCTAAACCTCAAACCCCAAACTCGAAAGCCTTAAACTCCTTATCGGCGAAGCTGTACAGCTGTCTGCTAATGCTGATTTGATGCAGAAGATTCTGCATCTGACCGATCAGCTGTGGTTTGGGATCCATCGAGTTCATTTTAGCGTGAAGCTTCTCATTGAAGAACCTGTATATTCCCGAAAAAGTTTCCAGCCACAGAATCTCTGAAGATTATGCCCACTTAAATGGCCACCAGTGCCTGTATTTTGCCCTCGTTCGGCTGGAGCGGGAAAGCGTCGTCAGCACGGCTGACTTGTGGAGAACTGCGTGCCGCACCGGTTGACCTGAGCCAATGACTTTACGCTTGCGACAAAATGGTGCGGCCCACGGCGTGGGAAGCCCAACACTGGACTTTAGGGTTTACTGTCAAGGGCCTCTAGGACACTAGGGTGTGGGGTTCCGGGTGGGGAGGTTTAGGGGTTTCGGGTTGTCGGGGTTAAGGTTCGATTTGGATTTTAAACCGGAGCAGGTGTCGAGATTCTGCGCTTCAGACTTTTCGGGTATGAGCTGAGGGTTTGCAGGGTCGAGGGTGTCATGCGATGTTCTGCTTTTCCACCTGTCGCACCGCCTGCTTTGGGCTTTGGGCACAACCAGCATAGAGAAGTTGGCTTTCTGTCCAACATGTACAACATCGTTACAAGAAGACTGTGGCTTGAAGAATCTGAGTCGCACGGTAGGCACTAGAACAAGAAGATCGGCCACAAAGCTGGGACAGCATGGCGGGAGATTTCTTTGTTGCATCCGAGTGAGCTGCAAAAGGAGAGAGCCTGGGCATAGGAGCAAAGTCCCTGCCAGCAAGCCCTTGCATGAACACGCCGTGAGCCTCGCGTGATGCGGCTGGTCAGAGGTGTCTCTGGGTTCGCTCGCTGCGCCATCATCCCTAAAGCCTATGCCCTAAAGCCTAAACCCGAAGCCTGTGTATGTTGTGTCTAGGTCGTGTATGAGTGATAGTGTGCATGAGTCGATGGGGTGTACTTCGTGTAGTTTGAACGTCTTGATGAGCGGCTACATGTATGCTGTGAGGAATGGTCTGTCTTTAGTTCTGAGCATGCCCAACAATGGGCTGGACAGGCGAGTGAGAAAGTCCATTGCTCTTCAAAAAGAACACCAAGCCCTAAACCCTAAACCCTAATATTTTAAAACCTGAAACCTATATAGTCCTAAACCCTAAACCCTA